ATTAAAGTTCAATGATGACAGGAGGCACCTCGCATGGCATACCCACCCCATGCTGTCCTTTTGGGTGTCATTAAAGACAACACACTGCTGCAATGCATGAATCATCACATGTGATGAGTGTTAGAATTAAGACCAGCACACAAGGGGGCCTAGTACAGCAGGGACGCCTGGGGTCTTGACTATATCTTCTCTATGAATCCAGACTGAGCAGGACCCAAAATTTGTGTCCAACATTTGCCTGCAGCAGAAGACCAGCTGCAGAGAGTCTCGGTCCGGTTCGTTTTGCTGATGCCAGCCCATACATGTTCCCTTCGCCATACATTTCTCTGTTTAACAGGCGCCTGCAGCAGTGTTCAGTGAGGCACAAGAAAAGTCTTATATCTGCACTGCACTCACATAAACGCTGCATGCACGCTCACACACATAAAAAGCACGGTGACAGAATTGCATATGTTGCCACAATGTAAAACAGTCAAGCGTAAATTAAGAACACAAGAGGACATACAGCTTTTAATTTGTCTATCTTTACACTGCATTTAACACGCTGAATTACTTTTTTTTTATTTTAAATCTTTAGTGACAAGTTTTCTCATGTAACCAAGGAAATATGAGTGTATAGTGCCCAGTGATCATAGTAAAAAAAAAAAAGCCTGTGAGTAAGAATATGAGTTTGGATACAAAGGCTCAGATTTTCATATTCTAAAAAAATTTCAAGATGCTTGCTTTTGTCAAGAGTTTTCAATATTTAGGTTAACGTGGTAAGATCTGCCATTTGATGAATCTGAAATTTGATGAATTAATTAAAAGAACCTTCATTCCTCAACAATATATTTCATATTCATTTAAAGCTTTACAATTTCTATCAATAATTCAGTGTCTCTTCCCACTTATCTTTACAGGGTTGCAAGGGGGGAGCTGAAGAACAGCTTGAACAGGTGGCCAGTCTATCTATCACAGGGCAACATGGAGGCACACAGGGCACACAACCTCTCAACACGGCTAAAAATTTAATCTATTTCAATTATTCATTTCAAAAGTTGGAACTCTGATTGATTACTCACAAAGGCTTTGATTATGTTGGTTTATAGATAATAAAAATAATAGTTTACTCAGAAACATAAAATATGAAAAACTAATAAAAATAGTTATTATTAGAGAGATGCTGTTTGATGGGTGTATTGTGGCCAACAATATCAGAGTCCTGACTTGACACTTTTTGATCAGGCAGTCACTGACCTCCATCACAAGAACGGTGATAAGGCCTTGAACATGGCTGGTGTAATGAATGCTGATGGAAAATTGATTAAAAGGAAAAAAATGTGGTAACGTCACAACATATGAACCTATACAGGACTTAGGATACAGTTGTATTCATGAAGAGGAAATAAAAGTATTGGTGGTTTACAGAAAAAAAACAAGAATGTTACTAGTCAAAAGTCTCTTTCCAGATAAAGGTACATTTTTGCTTTTTGCAGCGGATGGCCACTGTTGAAATAATGTGACCCATATAACATCTCAGATGAGCCACAGGCTCATTTCCCTTAATGAAATGCAACACTGATGCAGTAAATTAATCCAAAGGGGGCTTCAACCAAGTAAGGAGCGTAAATATTTTACCTGGACATTCTTTCCTGTATGCTAAAACCTCTAGACTAAAATAACTTTTTATTGCTCTTCACAGAATTTTCTTGTTTTAAGAGAATTAGATTTTCACTATTTATTAGCTGTATGTGATAATCATCAGAACTACAGAAGTGAAGACTTGAAGTGACATATGTTTCTTCAAATATACATTAGTGAAATTTCAATCTATATTTCCTAACGAACTGTTATATAAAACCAGAATCTCGTATAATTAATATCTTTTAAAATACAGGTTTTACTCCTTTAACTTAATTACTTAAATGAATAGAACTTTGATGATAATCTTATTTTGTCTAAGTGTATTTTTTAACACATATCTGTTTGTTGTTGTTTTATTCAGTAATATAATTTTAGAACAAGAAATTGAAGAAAACAAGTGTGTTCTAATAATTTTCTCTATGACTAACGATGTATTACAGAAGATGTTCTTCATTTGATTTGTTTTATTTGTCTAATGAAACTAATGGGTGTTAATGAAGAAAATAAAATTGAAGCTGCTATAACAACTAAGAGAAAAACAACATTAATCTATAATGATAGCCCATTATATCCTAACAAGTTTACTGCTAATTAAATTGTTGCTTCTCCACAATCAACAACAGAGAAGGATGGTCTAACTTCCAATTGTCCCTCGCCAGCACTACTGTTAAGCAAGGCAAGCAATGATTAATGGCTTTGGACGATTTGCAGCCCCCTTTCATTTTATCTGGTTAAAAATACATTGAATAAGGAATTCAACCCCTGAGGGGCAAATAGAACGAACAGGGGAACTCAGCAGCTCTAATGTAGAGCACCTGCAGTTGTGGGACAAATACAAAGTGTTTTGCAGGAGGGAGGTCCATTCAGCTCTACAACAGCAACAAAAATAACATCAACCACCCTTTCATAAAAATATTAAAAAAACACAATTAAGTTTTGGTAAGAGAACTAGTGTTTCTGTACAGTAAATAACTCTTTTTTGGCTTGTTGTTTACTTACTTAATTTAAATATAAGTTTATTATGTTAAGTTAAATGCTGCTTTATAACTTTAAAGATGATAGGAGTTTTTAGATGAGAGATTCTTCAGTAATAATGTAGGATTCAGAAAAGCCATATTGATGAACATTTCTATGCTTTGAAAATCACGCAGCTTTTCTTTTCTTTATTTCCTATAGCTTTAGCTGTATTTCTCCTTGTCTGAAACAGATAATTATGGATTAAACTAAGAGCTTTGAGGAAATGCTTTTGGAGCTTTCTTCATTTTCTTTTAACTGCAATATGGATTTTTTTTCTTCTGCATGCTGCATAAGCAAAGAAAATCACAAAATACACTAATTTCTTTGCTTTTTTTTATTTTTTTTTATCTGAGTAATCATTGTAGATCTTTGTGTAGAAAGACTAAATATCCATTTGGCCTAATGATGCCAAAATCACGTTATGAACACAATAAATCAGTGACACCATGTTTTCATTATTAGGATTTTGTTTTCATGTGTTGATTTTCCTGTGAAGTTAAGTGAAGCTGTGTTCAACGTGGAAAAAAATTCTGTTTTTTTTAAGTTTTGTTGTAAAAAAATAAAATTAAATAAAATTTGCTGTTCTATCATTTATGTAAGATGTCCAAACAAAATCTCATCTTGATTTATGGTTTTATGCCATAAAAGAATATAAGAATAGTCACACCAGCGGTCCTAGACATGGCATAATTATCAAAGCTTTTACAATTAAAACGTTAGTTCTCCAGAAATTACACATGGGTGAAAATAAATTAATATGTACAACAGATTCCCCAAGTATAATCGGTTCTAAACAATTTCTATGAGAAAATCTCATCTCATCCTTCCCATTTTTATTTTGTCCTTCGTATAGTAATAATGTCTTTTATCCACTAGATGGCACTAATGAGCTATTATCCAGACATCAAGCATAGGGCTCAGATTGATATCAAGTCAGACTATGACTAAACATAAGGTTTAAAGGCGTTACTGGTTAGACCTTACACCAATAAAAGGTAGATTAGAGGCACATGTACTGTAATAACAAAATATTTTTTAGTAGCTTACTTGATAGTTAATCTAATAAATTTTAATGATGCAAATAAAACACAGTCTTAAACTAAAAGACACATTATTTAATCTATATTTACAGATTTACTACTTGTTCCTACATTAAGTTCTAAACCTAAATGTTAATTTGCTCAGGACGTTAACCTGCAGTTCAGATGTTGATCAAAAGACAAACTTTAATTCTTATACAAGCGTTTATGACCCATTAAAGAACATGCAGGTAATTACTTTTCTTACCCCTTTCAGTTTTGCTGTTTGTTTCACCTCATCTGTCAGCTTTAAAGGTAATGTGTCTGCATGTCTTGTGCACATGAAAAGGTGGCTGACGCAAATCAAGTTGGCATGCCAACTTGGAGATCTGACGAGCAGATTTGTGAAAGAAAGGACATGCAAAGGTGGCTGACGCAAATCAAGTTGGCATGCCAACTTGGAGATCTGACGAGCAGATTTGGACTGACATGAGACCCTTGTGTTTGCATGGAATCTTTTTTGATCAATGTCATGTCAAAAATCATAAACTGTGTTATTGCTAAACTACTTAAGATTCTCAACACATATTGCGAAAAACACTAAAAGTTAAATAATACTCATTTAATTTTTAAGTGACAAAACTGAAATGATGGTCCCATTTCACACTTTTTATATCAGCATATGCAGCTGATCATTTGTTTTCTTTTCAAAGTGTACAAAACTTCTGTTAGTTATTTAATTAGATCGCACCATATAGCTTGGAATCCTGAAATTCTAAGTTTGAACCCCACTCCCACAGACTGGGTCTCTGAGCAATACCCTTAACCCCACACTGCTCCCGAGGGCGCCGCACAATGGCAGCCCACTGCTCCCCAAGTGGATGGGTTAAATGCAGAGGTAAATTGTTCCAATGTGAGATCAATAAGTTTCAATTATTATAATAATTATATGTATATATACATATAAAAATGACAACAAACAAAAAATGTCAAAACTAAAAAATCTATGAAAAATTTTCTCTGCTTTACTACTCTTAAGAGAAAAATGGTAAATTCTTTAGGGAAAATGTAAAACAAAGCAATGGGAGCATTAGAGTGGGGTTGCCCGGGAAACCACCGTCGTCATGGAGACTGCATCACAAGGCGGATACCGTCTACACGTCCTGCCCCCTTTCATCCAGACTATGTCATCACTGGGCACATGACAACATACACAAGGCCAGGTTGTGCTTTTTTTTTTTTGTTTATTTTTTCCCCTCTTTCTTTTATTTCCTAATAAAAGTGCAATTAACAAGCAAAGCCGTGATCTATTCATAATTGTATTTATTCAATATAGCCCATATAAGTGTTTCTGAATAAAAATACAGGTTTTTGATTCATGATAAGCCTTCTCGCACTATCTGAACATGACTGCAGAGTCAAACACGTGGACAGGTTATGATATTAGATATAACCTAAACAGGCATTCAGCTAGATAAATCATTATAATATATTTAATAACATTACTGGACAAAAGAACTTTTCTGTTCTTTCCACAAAGCACAACACTTTAGGCTTTTTTTTTTCTTTTGGACTTTCAGGAGTAAATGCTACACGTGTATTCAACACTGACAACATTATAGCAAACCAGATATGTAGGCATCATGTGGCATTTTAGACTAAAATGTGACAAATGTGATTTTACCAACAGCTTATAAAGATAGTTTACAGTCAGTCAGATCTATCAGGCCTAAATGGGTACTGTATTGAGGTCTTATGTTAAAGTTAACTGTTTCATCCTTCAGCCACAGATTTGGACTGACACATAGAGGCTATACAAAAATAATATTACAGACCTAATATTTCTTTATGCTTCATAAATAGTGAATTTTACACATCTGTGAACATCTTTTTGATGTTGACGCAGTTCTGATTTTTCTCTGTAGTAAAGTTGGGCTGCTTGAACGCACAGTTGATGCCTTCTACAATAACCATATAATCGGACTTGCTGAGAGAAGATGAGCTGCACGACTTCATCTGCTCCTCTGGGGGGAGGTGCTCACAGCTGCTTCTGTTGAGGTATTGCTGGTGCTCCTCTCCGTCCGTCTCTCGGTGGTAAAAGTAGTTGAAATTCGACACAATTACTGGCACAGGTAAGGCAATAGTCAACACCCCCGCTATTGCGCAAAGTGACCCCACTATTTTGCCTCCAATGGTTACCGGATGCATGTCTCCGTATCCAACTGTGGTCATTGTGACAACTGCCCACCAGAATGCTTCTGGGATGCTGGTAAAACTAGACGAGGGGTCGTCTGCTTCTGCGAAGTAAACAGCGCTGGAGAAGAGGATGACTCCTATGAAGAGAAAAAAGATGAGCAAGCCAAGCTCCCTCATGCTGGCCTTCAGCGTCTGTCCCAAAATCTGGAGTCCCTTAGAGTGTCGTGAGAGTTTAAAAATGCGAAAGACTCTCACCAGCCTGATCACTCTCAGGATTGCGAGAGACATCGCCTGCTGGCCCCCGTTAGTTTGCTGGCTCTCTGCCAGCTCTGTCCCCAGGGTGATAAAGTAAGGGATTATGGCAACAATGTCAATGATATTCATGATGTTTTTGGAGAAAGTGGTTTTGCTGGGACAGGCGAAAAACCTGACCAGCAACTCAAAAGAGAACCATATAATGCACAGCGTTTCTATCACAAAAAACGGATCTGTGAATGGGCTTGGCACCGTTGGAGCTGTGCCATTTAATGTGGGTGCTACTGTGGATATGTCTTTTTCGTCCCGAAATTCAGGCAGAGTCTCTAAGCAGAAAATAACAATTGAAATCAGGATCACAAGCACTGAAACGATGGCTATTCCTCTTGCAGGTCCGGAGCTTTCAGGGTACTCAAACAGAAGCCAAACCTGCTTTTGGAAATCATTTTTAGGGAGTATGCGCTCATCCTCTTTTATAAACCCCTCATCCTCGCGGAATTTCTCCATAGCCTCCTCCCCAAGTTGGTAAAAGCGTATCTCCTCTGAAAAAATATCAATTGGGACGTTAACAGGTCTCCGAATGCGCCCCCCTGACTGGTAGTAGTACAGGATGGCATCAAAGCTGGGTCTGTTTCTGTCGAAGAAATACTCGTTCCTGAGTGGGTCAAAGTAGCGCATCCTTTTCCTCGGGTCCCCCAGCAACGTGTTTGGAAACTGGTTGAAAGTTTTGAGTTGAGTCTCGAAGCGTAAACCAGAGATGTTGATGACCACCCTCTCGCAGCATCCCTGGCGGCTGCACTCATATCGATCCACGGACAGGTGAGGCGCTGAGAGTACAGCCGACTCTTCCAGCATGTTTTCCACCGTCATGACGTTCCTCTCCGCCTCTCCATATCCCCGCTTCTCAATCACGGCTCTGCCCTTGTGTTCGGCTGAGGATGGTGTCTGCGTAACGCTGGAGGTCTGCTCATCCATACAGGTGTTTTTGTTGTTGTTTCTGCTTGGAGAGGCAGAGTGCGCGGCGTCACTCCCAGCCAAAGCTCACAGCTTTGGAGAGCTGAAGCTGACGCCACTTACATGCCACCTAACCATCATCAGTGTCTGCTCATTCACAGGGTGAAGCTCTGCACTCTCTTCTGCTTTTCCCTCTTTTCCAACACATCAACCCGCCCACGGTGCGCATATGTCTGACATACGTCCACCAACCACCCAATCGGAAATTCATTTTACACTTAATGTAGGCAGTAACCCTTCAGTCTTATTCACACATGCAGCGATTGTCACCTTCACTGCACAGATTCACGTTCAAGTCACAACATTTCTTTTTCTTTTCTTTTGAAACCCCATATTAAATCTCCGGTAGTTCGTGAAAAAATACAAACAGTTAAAAAAGAAGGTGTCTTGTTTTCAAATTTCTTCAGATTTTTTTTGTTTATGAACAAAATTTCCCATAAATCAAGTTTACATAAAGCTTAATTGCTTTCTTTTTGTTTGGGGTTGTCCTACTTGTCGAGGGGGCGTTGCTCTCCATGGTGCTGAAAGTACACCAACACCCCGCCTATAAATCAATCCGTGCTCTTTGATGAACGGAATTAAAGTCGAGTTACATTCAGGTCATGCTTAAACTGCTGTAAAGGGGAATTCTCTACTTTCCAAAAACAAACACAAAGTCAAAAATAATTTGCATAATTTTTGCTTGAAGAAACAAACACAAGAAAGTATCCAACAGTAGGCCTATATGTAACCCTTCACCTTAAAGAAACATGTGGAATGCTAGTTTCTGCTTCAGGAAAATGAGAAGTCATTAAGGAGTTATTAAGGAGGCCTCGTGTCTATATTTCTGTATCATTGTCTGTTTTTATTGTAATTCGATAGCAGCAAGTTACATAATATCAATGTATTATGCCCAAATATGACCTTGGTATTTAATGAATACAAATAAATCAGTCTGTCTGGTGGTTACTATTATGATATATATGTAAAACTCCTAGCTTTGAAAGACCAACATTAAGACAATTCGTGAGACAAAATTATCAAAAAAATAACTATTTTATTTCAGTATATACAAGTACAATCATATTTATTTTCATTTAGAAGCATGCAAAGCATTAAGAACCCAGGAACTTTGAATTACATCTAAAATATTTTTATATGGGTTTTTATATGATATCCCAACACAAAATAGAAAATAAATGTAAAGTATCAGGAACTGGATTGATGATTTTTACAGTTTTACAAATAAATGTCTAAAAACATGTGTTCTGATGAGGTTCAGCCCATTTAACATCAGAAGTTACCCAATTAGTATATAGACTTCCACCTTGTTTAATTTAATCTGAGTTTATATCAAGCTGCTCAATTGTTAAGAGGTTATTAGGAAACATTAGTAAACAAACAGCATGATGAAAAACAAGGAGCAGTCCAGACAGGTCAATGAGAAGGTCAGGATAACTTTAAAGCACGGCAAAGTCATCAAGCCACCCACTTATCTTCATTCTTCTGGTAGAGCACTGCTTAATCCATCATCCAGAAAAAACAAAAAATACACAATTCTTATGAAAAACCCACCAACGTATGACCGTCCTTGTAAAATAGCAGAATGGACAAGGATAGAAAGAGAGTTCAGATGGGAGAATCTATACAATTTATCTGGGTGGCCTTTATTTAAGAGTAATAAAAGGAGACTTCATTGTTGAGAAAAATCCACAGATAGTCATTATTTTTATCAAACCGCAAGTTCTCTGCACTAACACAACAGATTATGATAAACACTCCATCTGCTTGGTGAGACAAAATACCCAAATTCTGTGGTAAAACAAGTTGGGGGCAATATCAAAGTTTAAAGATTATTTTCTATTTAGCAGGGGCAGTGAGGCTGGTGAGAGATGATGGATGGTTTTTAACACAGTGCAAAGCTGAAAGAAAACCTGCTGAAAGCTGGAAAAGAAACTGGAATAAAAGCTCCTCTTTCAGCAAGGAAAGATTCCAAAACATAGAACTAAAACTTAAATGGAGAGGTGCCAGCTAAAGCATATGGATTATTATAGTGACCTAAATCTCATAAAAAGCTCAAAAATGGCTGTTAATAAAAACTCCAAATTAATTTGATTGGCTTTGAAAATAAAAAATAAATAAATAAATGTATCTATCTTTGAAGTAAAGCTTTCTGTCATACCGTTCCTGTCGTTTAAATATTTTATAAAATCTTGTCAGGGAGAGCTTGGGTTGGGAGCAGCTGCACCATTATGTTCCCTCCCCCATCACAGTCCCTATGGAGCTCCTAGCTCCACAGGTGGAGTGATGGCTGAAGGAGGGCAGGGCCCCAAACTTTTCCCACTTTTTTGCTTTTTCAAACAGAGAGCAACTCACACCCCACTGCACTTTAAAACATATTGATGCTTTATGAAAATACCTTGGCTCCCGCAAGAAAAAAAACAGCAAAAACTAAGAGGATGTAAGTTGTCCTATATGGGTTCAGACAGGTGCAGTCAGAAGAAGCTAGACAGCTAATATATCGCTCATCTGCAGGAGCATCACCCACCACTCGTTGCTAAATTTAAGGTATCTTATATTGTCTTAACATGAATAAGCTACCTTTAGCATCAGGTATTACAGAAACAATTACCAGGACCTTGCTGAAGCTGACAGCTTGGTGGATGTGTTGCTAAGAAGTTTTCAACTACAGTGTTTTGGAATTGTTAGATTGTTTATGTGATTAGTTTTGAGTTAAAGGCCAAAGCGCTGAATCCCTTCATAACTGTAGCCATGCACTCTATACTTGTGCTTTCTGTTGCTCGTTTGTGCGTGTAATATACACACACACATCCCACCCCCTCCAACCCCACATCCCACACCCCCCCACACACACCCATATATATGCACAAATCTGAAAAAAGGAGGGAAAGCATGACACCTGTGATCTATAAAACAGCTTTCATCAACAATTTATATTTACTATGAGTACTATATTAGCCCATATTTCAGAAAGCCTATTATTTTGTTTTGGACATCTAAAGTTATAGAGGTGTAGTCTTAATTCTGTGACCCTGTGAAACTGTGATTTTCCTAACAGCCTATGCGTAGCTAGTGCTTACATATTCATATTTCATTCCAATTTACAAATATGACCCACTTATTCTTGGCCTAACTTATAAAATCCCAATAAAATACACTGATATTTGTGGCTGTAGCAAGTCCAATGATTGTCATCACTTTATTGGACTTCAGGATGATTGCAAAACCTTAAGGCCTCCATACCTTTCTTTGTAAATAGTGAACGATGATCAGATATAAAAACTATTACTGCTTAGTCACATAATCCATTCCCAAATTATTGGTTAAGATGCTCAATGAAAAGCATGAGCAAAAATATAACCACAATAATGGGAATAACACACAAAGTGTGATGATTGTAATTATTACCGCATTTACACCATTTCAGTCAATTATCAGGAACCGATGATACAAATCTTGACATCACCACTTTGCAATGGAAACTCACCAGTTTTCATCACTTTCTTCACCACCTTTTTCCAAGAGTATATTTTAACAAGCACTTCCCCATCTTCTTCTTTCCATGATTAAGGTGTTTTCATTCCAGTTTTGCCTCCTCACTGCACATAAAAGTAATGTGACCTTTTGCAGCTAAGTTAGATTTTCTAGGCCTTCTTCCATTTTCCAAACAAAGCTCACCTATTCCTTATTAATCATCACTAATGATACAACAACATCTAAAGGGCATTTTACACAGAGACTTAATGCAAAATTCCCCAAATAGTTAGATTTGGTAACCCTGTTCTGCTATGTTTTACTATCATAGCTATAACACATTCTAAACATTAGTAATACTTGAATAAAATGATCAGATAAAAAAAAGAACATATTTTTGCAAAAAGTGTTTTTACTAGTTTTAAAGCTGCCATTTATCAATTACACAAGCTGTGAATCAGATGAAGAGATTCGATATTCAGTCAAAAACCTAAATCAGCTTCTTGTTCTGCATGATATCAAAATATGTAATTTTCCGTACCATAATTTCAGATATGTATGTTTCAGGTGACAGATTTAGGATTTTTAGATTAGAGTTTTAATGCACAACCTGAAGTTTGAGAAAGTCTAAAGAACAACTGAGTAAAAAATGAATGATGAAATGATGATGCAAATGAAGAGATATTCCCAGCAATATATTTAGAATTGCAAATCAAACAGAGCATTTATACTTTATGAAAGAAAAATAAAAGTTATACCTTTCGATTGTCATGTTGAGTATGGGGATCAAACCCAAATTCAGAACACACCACGGAGACAGGGGTAAAAAGTTCAACAGTTTATTTAGAATCACACAGAATAAATCACAGATACTGATTCTGGTCCGGGATGACTTCACAAGGGTTTCTCTGTAGAGAAGGGATAGTTAGGTTAGCCTGAGGTCTGGGGAATCTTGACACAGTCAGATACTGATCTGTACCTGGAGAGATT